AAAGACTTTTGTTAAAGGTATGAAGAGAGAGGAATTTCAGGCAAATTTGATAGGAGTCGCTTAGGGTACCTTAGACTATATTTTCCCCTGCAGGTCAGCGTGTGACTCAGGGATTAAAACGATGTGTGTAACAAACTCAACCATTTAAAAAATATCAGCACTGCAATTTGAAATTATTCTCCAAAGTAGAAACTGCACTTGGAATTTATTATGAAATAATACTTCTCTGAATGTGCTTCTAACTGGATTTTTGAAGTCTCTAGCTGTTTGGGGCCTTCATAAAAAGAAGTTATCTGATTACTTGAACGTGGCATCATCCATTATCGATTCTAATTTTTCTGGCGAAGATATTTTAAAATGGTTTAGATCTTATTTTCCTCCTAGGATCTTAGGGCTCGGGATTCTAAGGGATACAAAACATTATGAAGTTAATTTTTCTTGTCTGGCAGGTTATAATCCAATAATTATAGATGAGAGAAAATAGAAAAAAGGCGTGTTCGCAGTCTACATGATAAATAACATTAAAATATTTTATATCAATTCAAATAACTTCGTTTATTCATTAAATGGTAACATTAAACATCAGTCTAGTTTATGTTTCAGGCAATTTGCCGAGAATTACTGTAGACACAAAGACTGTTAGTGCCATAAATATAATAGACCTTTTGAAAAATGCTTTCAAATTAACAAGGTATACTGAGCAATGCTTCTTTCCGAGGTTCTTGACCAAAAAAAAATCTGTGGTGAATTCACGAGTGGATACTACTCTCGAGACAGTTATATTTTAATTGGTTATGAGTCTCTCTGTTAGTCTGGCAGACAGAACTTAAGATGGCCCTCAATGATGCTTGCCTCCTGATAGCCATGGCTTTGTATATTCCCCTCTCTTAGTATGGGTGGGACCTATGATTTGCCTCTAACCAACAGAATACAGTGGGGCCTTGACTTACGAGTTTAATTCGTTCCGAGACCAAGCTCGTTAAGGAGCTCGTTAACTCAAATTACTCTATCAACTCAATGCAAAAAATCGGCCGAAAGACAGCTGGTATCTCAAAAAACTCGTTAGTCAGGACACTTGTAAGTCAAGGCCCCACTGTACAGCAAAGGTGAAGGGATGTCACTTCCATGATTATGTTACATAGATTGTAACCTACATCTTGCCAAAGGACTCTCTCTTTTGCTAGTTTTTAAAAAAATACATTTTAATGGATTTCAGAGAGAAGAAGGGAGAGGGAGAGAGAGAGAGAAACATCCATGATGAGAGAGAATCATGGAGCGGTTGCCTCCTACACTCCCCCTACTGGGAATCGAGCCCGCAACCTGGGCATGTGCCCTGACCGGGAATCAAACTGTGACCTCCTGGTTCATAGGTCGATGCTCAATCACTGAGCAACACCAGCTGGGACCAAACTCTGGGTTTTAAGACCTCCTTTGACAGTCCTGCAGCACCCTGCTTTGGCGCGTAGGGGTGATTGGCATGTTTTGGCATGAGGCCTCAGCTGAATGGGTGCCCCATCTTAGCATCCCGGAACATGTGGATACATATGGCTTCAATCTTTGTTCCCCTTAGAATTGGGTTAGGCATCCTAAGGGGCCCAAAGTGCTGTGGATTATCTTCTTCTTGTCTGGCAGGTGATAATTAGTCACTTTGAGATGAGAGAAAACAAGCAAAAGCCCATTCCCAGAACTGATAGGTATCACACTGCGATGTGTGACATCTATGATTCTATTTCTAACAGAATGGTGATCAACAAGCCCTCGGTAATGGTGGGAACCAGGACTGCTCAGGGGACCACCGCATCTGTACCCTTTCCTCTTACTCAGCCATGAATGTGACTCTTTGGCTGTGTCTCCTAGTTCTGATTCTGGAGAAAGGGAATCTAATTGGCTTATTCCAACACTGGGCTCCAATCAGCTGTGACCAAAGGGTGAGGTCCGGGGGCCCATTGCCTGCTACCGAGGGTTCTGGGAGCAGACTGGGGCGGAAGAGGCCAGGCCCACTACCACGGCTGCCACACTCACGAATTCTTCAGTCAATGGAGCTCTCTCCCATTTCTCATCTGCTGGATGTTTCTTGTGTCCTACGAACTAAGGAAACTTGAGTGAGGGCTACGAAGCAGTACTTTGCTTGTTTGTGTTGGTTTCTGCATGTTCTTCATTATTATGTGTTTTTGTTGATTTTTTAGAGAGGAAGAGAGAAGGATAGAGAGAAACATCGAGGAGAGAGAGGAGCATTATCCATCGGCTGCTTCCTGCATGCCCCTATTGGGGGTTGGGCCCACATCCGGGGCATGTGCCCTGACCCGGAATTGAATCTGAGACCTCTTGGTTCCTGGGTCAGCGCTCAACCACTGAGCCACACCCACATAATTCTGCTTATTCATTTCTCTGTTGGAGAGAGCTGCATGGGCAACAGTGGGAGCCCAGGGACTGTGTGAAATCAAGCAAAGCAGAGGTAGTTCAGTGCAGTGGGCTAGGCCCAAAGAGTTGGGAGGTTGGTCTCCATTGTCTTGGTGAGCAAATTAGGGATTATTTTAGAGATCTCCAAGGGCTGTTTCCCCTTAAACAGTTTGGAAGTTTGCTGAGATGACCCCCTCCCCCCCCAATTTCATCTTTCTTCAAGTTCTGATTTTTTTTAAATCACAGCTACAAAGAGTTGAATTCATCAAAGTCATCAATTCACGGCATAAATGATTATCATCACAGACCGTGCAAGGCCCGTCTCTGGTTTTATTTATTTATGCTCACACCCCCTCTTATCTCCCCCAAGAGAAAACCATTCTAATATGTTTAGTGTGCATCCTGTCATTTTTTATCGGCTTATTGCAAATATATTGTTGCTGTTTTGCGGGTGTATTTTGAGCCTGTGAAAATGGCGTTATATGTCATACTGTCTCGTGCAGATGCGCGTGCTGACATGCTCACCAATAATGCGTGATCATGCATCTTACCCACTGAATTCTCCTTCGATGACACCCTGGTACCCCATCGAGTGGGAATTCTGGCTGGCTGCTCCGTTTACTGGGGTTCGTGGCCAGTGCTTGGCAGCTGGGAACTCCTGGGAGCAGATGGGCCACTCAACGGTCTCCCTGCAATCATCCCAAGTGTGCTCGCTGTTTCTCCAGTTCTTGGAGGTTTTTTAAAAATATCTCATTGATTTCAGAGAGGAAGGGAGAGGGAGAGATAGAAACACCAATGATGATGAGAGAAAATCACTGACTGATTGGCTGCCTCCTGCACAACCCCCCCACCCCACCCCCACTGGGGATCGAGCCCGCAACCCGGGCATGTGCCCTTGACCAGAATCTAACCCTGGACCCTTCAGTTCACAGGCCAATGCTCTAGCCACTGAGCCAAACAGGCTAGGGCGAATCCTTTGAGTTTTAGCCCTGCTCTTTCTGGTCTGCTGATTTCTCCCCCTCTCTCCTCCCCAGT